TGTTCATAAATATATATTTTTCATTCATTTTTACAACAAACGGACTTTTCAGTCAGCCACAATGTTTGTTTTGAATTGCATACAAATAATGTTGGCCTCTAAAACATAAAATGTGGGTACTTTTGGGACATTATATCCAAAATCAGTCGGTACCATCGATTTCAGCATCGAATTTTATTTAGGAACCCACATTCAAAAAGCGATGAACACAATTTGCTCGTTGGAGCCGTATGTGTGTATGTATGTATGTACAACTATATAAATGTGCATCATTTTTGGGACATATGACGCACGATCATGACATTGTGCTTCAATTTTGCCCGTCGTTCGTAATATTTGTGAAGATGGTGTGGGCCATTTTCAGTGGTTTTTATCGGTCACAAAAGTGACGGAGGTGTGTGTAGAGCCCACAAATCTATTCGTAACATGAGTTGTATTGGATACAGGTGTATTGAAATTACCCGTTATGTATTTCTCGAATGTCTTTGCGATGGCGTTCCTATTGGTTTGTGATTCAAGAACCGCAGTAACAGAAGTGGAAGAAATAGCCTTACCTCATGGAGTTGTTGTTAAGAAATTGACTACAACATTTACAACAATTGAAACCTCTCCCAGGAAGCATTAATCTTCAAAACGCATGTTTAAGACAATAACACAAGTAACATGGATCAAACATGAGTTCCCCATGCACATTTATTTCAACAATTGAAACCTCTCCCAGATAGCCTAATGTTCCAAACGCTTGACATCAAGACAATAACACGAGATGGATCAAACATGAGTTCCCCATGCACATTTATTTCATTCTTGTGATTCACGCTATTGATTGTGGAGAACGATCACACAGATCATTAAGCAGTATGCCCCAATTCATTGCCATTCTTTGCGATAATTATGTGCATTGTCAATTTTCAAGTTATGGTGATAATACAAAACTTATTATTGACACATTTTTGCATTTATTGTTCGATTTTCCCCTTGTTAGTTCAAATAAGAAGTGAATATTTCTTTGTGAAACAGGATTACTACTCAAGCTTTCCAATGATATTGGCGGCTTCGAACCTTGGACATCAAAGGTAACAGCACACCTGTAGACTCTATTGTGCAACCTTACAAAACGGCAGCTGCTTTGAATAATTTTTCGCCAGTTGGGACTCCAGCTCTTAATGGCCATTGTACTAGTTTGGCTAGGAGGGATTAGACCACTCAAGGTGGTCACTGACAGGCTATCTCATCAACCCAGCTCTCAATTAACATAAGAAAAAGAGGATCATGGGGGACCTGTGGTCACCGATTAGGAATTGTTTTCTATATAGAGGGAGCAAGTAGTACAGTGGGCTTTAAAACTCCTTGCTCTGACGAGGAGATATGTACTGCCCAACCATGCAACCGGGTCAGCTTGCATCGATAAGAAGCCTCTGTTGTTTCCTCCTTTACAGCAATGCTTGCCTAAATCTCAGCGATTTTAAGAGTTCCGCAAATTATGTAGGTCAATGGTCCAACCATGGACCTACTAGAAGGTCCATGGTCCAACACTCGATTCGATTACGTAATGCGATTTAAAGGTCTGTGACTACATTCCGAAACTGGCCTGACCTGCAAGATAAGCCTTGCGTTCAACGGCTGTTCTTATGAATGCCGTTTACAAGTGTGTGTACAAGAAGTTAGTAGTGAATTACATGCAATGCTACCTTTCAATTGAGCCTTGAATTCAAAACATAAACAAGTCAGGAATTAGATCAGCAGATCCAGAAATTGCAGGAAAACATCGTCGACGTACATCGATGTTAGACGATCATGAACAATGCAGTCCGAGAAATTGTCTTTGCTTCCATGGCGTGAAGGAGAAAGAATAAGAACACGGATTCAGTGATCATAAACCTTGTCAAGGACAAGCTAAACGTTGTGCTCCAGCGAATAACCCCCCCCCCCTCCCTGTGCCCCCGTGCCCCCCCCCCCCACGAAACCATACGATAGGTGAACATACGACTCCGCGACGATCTAGAGTCATTAGGGACTGTTAGATTGAGTGGACGAGAACGGCGTGAACGTCCACTGATCATGCGTGTCCATGGCAAGCCGTTTTAACATTTATTCCTATTTCTTGATATGAAGAATTCAATTCTCGATATCAAGAAACGATTTTTTTTTTGTTTTGTAAAAGCAATGGTAATTCTTGATATTCTTGATAATAGGAATACGTGTCAAAACGGCTTGCCAGACACGCATGCTCCGTGGACGTTCACATCGTTCTCGTCCACTCAATCTTAAAGTCCCTATTATCGTTTCAGTTTGCCAGAACCATGGATCATGCACGATTGAAGCTTCGTCATCCATTCGAGTGGTTTAAGGCGATTGACTGAAGATGCGAAGGTCGAGGGTTCGAATACCAACACGGCACTAATATCCTTTGGCAAGATATTTACCTGCAATTGCTACTCTCCACCCAGGTGTAAAATGGGTAGGATGCGACGGTCATTGTTGGTCAAACAGTTTTTTTAGCGTCAAGTAACGCCTGACTGGAATGCTCCCCAGGGAGTGGAGATTGTGCACAGAGTGTGTGCGAGCAAGTTTTGAAACCAATGACCGGGTTAATAGTATATCCTTAAAGCGCTTAGGGACATTTGTATTAAGCGCTATATAAAAGCTGATATTATTATCATAATTAGTAAAAACATCTACGTCCACGTTCACCGCAAAAAGATCACATTTTTCTGTGCAAAACACGAAACATGACATTTAACGCGAACAAACATGGACATTAAAAAGGCAGAATCGCGGCTCTCACCGAAAGACGATAGGAAAATAACAATCCGCTGTGGTTATAACATGTAATCCCTCTAAATTTCCTTTTTTGAGCAGACTGTTTTCATCGGTAAGAAGTATCCATGTATACAATTTTCTAAATCAGTATATACACAGTGTAAACTTCGAAATGCGATATTATGCATTAAATGTCATAAATGGATTTTATTCGAAAAGTTCCTCTGCCAGATGGTGATTAGATATCTCAGACGATTATGTAGAAACAATTACTTTTGATGATAATGGTAACCTAAGCAATGCAAATGAAAATGCTTTACCTAGAAAATTGGAATTCGTTAGAAAAGGTTGTATAATAGCTCAATTAAATATACGTTGTATTAGGGGTAAATTTAAGCACATAAAAGATCTTACAATCCTGAAAGAAGAGATAGAAATTCATCAGGTGATGATGTTGCTTGGTATATTCACTCGAATTTGATTTATACTGGCTGGTATTATGTGGAACATGAGTTATGAGGGCCTTGAAACATTTTGACATGAAAACAAATTTAAACATTCATAACTTTATTGTTTACCGTTGTTTACCGACCTCCTAATTCTTCTACCGACTTCTTTTCTAGAGCAGAACTTATTACAATCGACATTAAATGTTAACCTCGAAGATTTTCATTGTAATATGCCCACCGAGTGTCCTCAATTGAATCAAATATAGAGTAACAAGTAATAGCAGAATCTGCATTGGTCTGAATTTACTTCTTTTGGAGAATAACAATTTCCATTACGATTTGGTGTCGACTCGGTGATCATTCTCTAATATACATAAAAGTTACAAAACAATTTCATGTTGCTCCAACTATCAAATGATTTCGTTCATTTCGTAATTCTAACCGTGATGTTCTGATGGGTGAAGGTGATCTAAAAGACTGGCAAATGTACGCTATTAATGATGTTGATGAAAAATGGAATGTATTTTGAAATGCATTCGTAAAACTTTGTGATAAACATATATTATGCACCATTTGCTTTCGTCAGGCAACGGCATAGATAACAGATCAATACTGGTCACGAACTACCGAGAGTGATATTATTTGAAAGATTGATTCGACGGTTCACATGGTGATAAAGATAAAGATAATTTATATGATATATTTATTGGGAAAGTCTGAAAAGTAAGTAGAAATATATTCAATAAATGGAATAAAAATACTGAAAAAAGATTACTATTTACAAAAAAAGAAGAAAAACAAATCGAAATGGATAAAATGAAACTCTAAGAGTACCTGTAAAACTAAACAATATGTTTTTCTTGTATTGATAACAGTCAATTTGTACTTCTTGGTAAACTAAATGACAAGTTGAAAATCGATTGTTTACAAAAAAAAAATGCTAATTCATTCCAAACTTACTTTAATCACAGTGCGATGAGAATCAAATTAAGTGAAGAAAAATCGAAGAGAATCAGTTTACCTCTGAATCGTACAAGTTTGGGTATGTCAAAGCTGATTACGACGTGTTTAAAGAATTCAATAGTTCAACGAAAGTTGCCATGTATATATTTACATTGGATATATTTACATTTGATATATTCAAAGATAATTATTGCTTTTCAAGTAATACAAATAATACACTTAGATTTTTCACAAGATAGTTGAATAATGTAATACATGTGCACGCTTCAATACAAAGGGAAGCACCACAAATTGGCAAGGACTGATGCAGTTTATTTAGTTTAAAAGTTTCATGTCAACGTATTTTTACTAAATGTTCTAATTTTCCAAGTAATAAAACATAATTCACCTACACGCCATCTGCGGATAACAGAACTTTTAGAGTACGTTTAAAACTGCTCAATGTAGGTGACTTTTTGGTTCCATAGTTAGTAGACTCTAATCCCTACACACAATGCATTCCTTTCAGCTTATCTTGTATTGTGATCACGTCGTGAACAGACGTGAGATGTCGCCGCTCGCAGATGTTCCCATTGTGGATATACCCTTACTTGTTTCCACTTCTTTCTTTAAAATGTATGGAGCATGCAGTTTTGAGTATTGCAAGAAGTCAGTATTCGCCCCTTATTAGAGTGTAATATTTATTGTTATATAGTTTATACGTTAATGTGTTTTCATTGGAACTCGTTTACAATGTGGGTGTGTAACGAAACCCGCATGGATCGCATCATATTTCCACATCAGACGGCAAGACAAGAGGTTGTTTTTATCACTAAATGATAGTAAATATCAATTTCGCTTTATGTTTTAAGAGTGTGCACTGTGCACGCAATAGGTATTGATATCCACACCACTCTCAATAGACCAGTTCGAAGATACAATCTGCGCATGCACAGAATGGTCACTTTTACAAAATTGTAAAACCCACTGATCTGCTATTCTGCTACTTGTCAAAGCCTGTTCATCTAGACAAGGGTGATCTTCTGCCGACGGTGGACGGCTTGTGCGAATTTGTGCCTAATTATATGCATGTATATGGTGCAAGTAAAAATGATGATGTTGTGACTATACTCGCAGCTGGTGGCTTCCTTCAACTGCTTCAATTGGGCAACTCAATGATATCCCAGTCTTTCAAGAAGCTGTACTTGTATTTGTAAGAACCAGAGGATGTACCAAGTCTGGTGAAACGAAGAAAATGTTGACTTCTTATAGCTCTGCCTTTCTGTGTGATGTAATCTGGAATAGGGATGGCTTTCTGGTGGTGGGGGATCTTGTACATCATGGGTAGACGTGATTGCAGTCGTCGCTCTTGTAGAGTTGGGAGTCCGATGTCTCGGATTTGATTCGTACCCCCTCCTCTGAACTTTCTCAAGCCTGTCTATCTTGTTTTGCCGATACGTGCTCATGAAAGTTATGTAATCATTCTTCATGCATGCCACTGTGATACATTCTATTAAACACAGGTGGAAGTAATTCTTTCAAGAGGGCAAATAAAGAATCACCTCCATGACTTTAGCTGTGATTATAACTGACACAAAGTGGGATTTATCTACCTTTAAAGATCTGTGGATATTTGGGGTCATCTGAACCATTTTGCTAACTACGAACTGGTCTAAGGATAGGCCTTTGTCACATTCACAAGCAGGTAATGATTGCTTAACTATATTTGGCACCAATGATTATTTATTGTTATATTCATCATTATTGAACCGTGTAGTGGTGGTTATTTTATCTGAATGCTAAGAAAGCATAAATGCTTGTAAGTAAGCAACCAGAGGACCGACGGCTTTAAGTCCTCTCCGATAGACCTGGTAATGAGGATTAATGCCTTACCAAAGGGCACTGGCGCATCGACTTGGTTTCGAACCCGGGTCACCGGCTTACTCGACCACTGCTCTACCATCTAACTGAGCTATCGCGCCTCCTCGTTATTATGATATTGATTTTTTTTGTGTAGAAACCCTTTTCTTTGGACTCTACATTTGGATATAATTTTATTTCAAACTCATGAGTACAATTTTGTTTAATTCCCTTTGTTGCACAGTTGAACAGCCCACGACGAAGGCTATAATGCCGAAAGCTTGGCTATAATAAACAACTGGTCACATCAGCTATAATGTGCTATATTACTCAATAGTATTTCACCTTTATTTCCACTACACATAACACGACCCGTCACGTTTAACAGTCGTAGTCGACTCCTTACCATGTTTATACACGTTTATATATATATATATATATATATATATATACATAGATTTGGTCTATTCCTCCGTACAGTGCTCAATGCTTATGGGCATATGGGTATATATATATATATATATATACATGATATGTAAAACGGTTGAATGGTTTTCGGCTACACCAGATACCTTCAACGGCAAACTGTCTCTCCAACCTCTTGGCAATTGATTTGTTCCTTTTGTGATGATGGGCGTATACTAAAGGAAAAAAGTTCTTTGTATCATGTTAAGGTGTGCTGCACATTGCATGATTACATAACCACTAACAAATGGGGCATCGGTGTAAAGGAAAATAAGCAGGCTTTTGTATGATACCAGATTCAAGTTTGATAATAGAGTATAAACAAGAGAGATATCAACGCCCAAACTTCGATTTTTGAAACAAAATGGAGAAGTTTATATACATGAATAGGTATACGCAGTGTGTGCGGGTGTGGGTGTATTAGCATGCGAACGAAATTATATCTAATTACATGTATATATATATATATATATCTATATATACATATATGTACATAGATATTTGTGTTTGTGTGTGTGTTTGTGTGCATATATGTATATATGTGAGCCTGTTAAAAGGGTAACTCTTTTTTGCGGCCTGGATAACTTATTTAGTATATTTTTCTTGAGTTGAGAATGTTAGCAGGATTGTTCCAGTAAAATTACCTCCAGATTTGTTAACATTTACAATTGACATATTATGTTTAGGTACTTATACGTTTACTTTGTTGCTAAGTTATATATATACTGCAAATAAGTTTGTGTTTAATTATGTTTATGTAAAAGCATCAATATTGAACACGTTTATTTTATTCAATTGTATGTTATGGTTTGTATTGCACATTTGGAGAAATAAAACAAAATTGTTTAAAAAATATATATATTTATACACATTGCCCCCAAAATGTAGACTTTTGTTCAAGTTCTTTGAAAAATTATGTACTGATGACCATATTTGCATGTCCTTGTCACGTAAATATTTTGCTGGTATTATTCAATATTACATAACCAATTGAATTCGTTTTAAGAGTTGAGCCAGGCTTTGTTTTGACGTTCTCGCAGCATTGATCAGTGAGTGTTTTCCACTTATAAAAACTGAGTGTTTTTCCGACTGAAGTTGATAATCCATAATTCCTGTAATCAGGTAATGGTTTTGATTCATATAGGCCAGCCCAACATATAGTTACAAACAGCAGGGGTTGATCAATTATTTAAAATAAGAGGGGTACGATTCCGAAAATTAAGGTCGTACAACCACCCCCCCCCCAAATTACCCCAATTTTAACGTGCGTTCAGGTCTGTAAGAGGCCACAATAATTATAGGATGACAATTTAGAAGGGGCACTGACGGATTGTGCCCCCCCCCCCCTTCTCTATCCCAAGCCGCGAGCACCGTGGTCGCCAGCGGAAAGAAAGAAAGAAAAATACAATTAGCTTGTGTTTTTCCTTCCATGCTCTCACACACAATTATGCCTCGTATCTGTGATGTTAATTAACAACAAAGAAATCAAATATTCGTTCGAACTTCCGATTTGACAGGAAACGTTCAATTACGTGAGGGCGTTCCAATTTCTTGGTGTCTCCTTTTATTGTATTTGTTTTCAATGCAGCCATGCTGGAGAGAAAAATATTATCTTGTCGTGTCCTATCAATCATTCTCTTTAAGTTACAAATATATTATGTAAACTGTTGATCTTCACGTTGTATAAATAGTTCCGTCATCATTTATCATGTCATTATTTTCTTTGATTTAACGCGATTGTATAATTTTATTAGCCATTTGATTCCTTCATTCGAATGTAAACATAGAAATGGGAAAATGGAGATGGAAATTAAGAAGACAAGTGTATGTGATTATGTGATGGAGACATATTTTTCTCTTAATTAATCACTCTGAATCGAGACTCTTCGAGAGGCCATGCAGGTATTAAATGACGCCCACAGGGGGTCCCGTTGCGTGTATGCAATGTCTTCACTTAAATATTCGTGTTGTGCCCTATATGCGGAGCTGAGTGGGGCAAGAAATTGTGTATGCGCGCCCGAGATTGCTTCATGTACAATGCATGCACGGCGCACCGAGAGGTGAGCCCGTGTTGAGTACTCTGCTTTTCTTATTATCTATCGCGAAGTCACACAACACATATTGGGAACCCAGCTGATGAATCTCTCTCCCTGTATCTCTCTCTCTAATCCCTTCTCTCTCCTTCTTCCCCTCTCTCCCTCTTTCTGTCGTCCTCTCACCCCTGTCTTTAGATCATCTTCAGCAGAGGCGACGTCGCACAGGGAGCATTCCTAAATGAATGATTCACCGCTTTCTCCAGTTTGAAGTTTCTGCAGAAAAGAAGAAAAGCAGGCGTAGTGAGAGAGGAAAGGGGACGCGTGAGTGAGACGGTTCCCCATCACTGTGATATAGGAGGCATCCATGCCATAGCTGTGTATTTCATCAAGCGTTCAGGCAGCCTAGGATGAAGACACACCATCTGCCATGCCAGTGTGGAGAGCAAGGGAGTCTTTTCGCATGTGGGATTTGGCTTTATAGCTTCTAGGAAGGAAGGTTGCCTAGCTAGTCTGGAAGTGGATTAATCCCAAAAGGTACGTTCAATGTAGGGATAAGGAGACAAAGCAGCACCGCCGGAACATAAATATCTCGAAGTCACAGAGTCATTCAATGTGCATGATTGTACGAGTCTTGAATGTCACATTACTAGTAGCCCACGTATGTCCTCGAAATGGGTGGAATTCGACTGCCCGAAAATAGAACATAATAGTAAGCAGGAACTTGCTCAATTTGTGACAAGTCCCAATTTAGTAGAGTTCACAGATTTTCATTGCTGATTTGACGTTTTTATAGTCTTTAAAAGATAGAGGGTCACGAAGACAAATACGTAATATGTGAACATGTATAGTAGACCCGCCAAATAGATAAAGGATGTAGAAAAAGATTCCTTTGTATTGCGGATGTAGACCTACATGAATAACGTCTATGCTAAAAACTACATGCATTGCAAGATTTAAAAAAAAAAAAAAAATGTCACTTTTTAGACTAAAATGTGAAAGAAAGTCAAAAATCTTGATTTTTAATTTTTATGGGAAAATGTGTATCATATATTGACGGCGTTTGCATGAACCTTTTTCGTGATTAAACATAATATGTGTTGTCATGTAAAACAAGAAGAAGAAATGATTAGATAATGTGATGGACGGTTCAGTGTATGTTATCGGAAGAACATTGTTATCGTCTTTACAGGATGTGCATGTTGAGTACATGCACGTACTGTACTTTGTACATCTACATTGTACATGTACCGTACATGGCATGTCGAACAGCTATTAATAGCAGCATTAGTCGTACCATAGGCCAAAAAAACCGAAACAGCCCCAACTCTCTTAGATACAATCTTAAATGACAATTTCCTGTTTGTCATTTGGACCCTTATTTTTGAGAACGGGCTTGATTGCCCCCAAACTTTAGTGTTTATACATTATTTTTGATCGGTACGTTTATCCTTAGATTTCTGCATAATTTAGCGCCCTATACATTTGTACTAATCCAATAAACATAACTGTCTACATTCCATGCGAGGCATGTTTAGAAAGTGACTGCTCATACAAAATGTACTGACCAAGTTTCAGAAGTATATACTCCCCCCCCCCCCCCCAAAAAAAGAAAGAAAGAGGGGAGAGAAAAGGTCGATGCCCTGGCGACCCACTCTCCAGTAGCCTACCTATAGAAGTACTTTCACCTTCAAGCTATTATTTTGCATTCATTTAGGATCACTTGGTAATAGCTTAGGTCCCATTTGCAGCCAACATCAAATTTTGTACAACTTTACAGGAATTTTGAACATGTCACGTAGGCCTATGTTCTATCTGTGGAATTCAAACGTTAGCAGTGTCCTAATATTCAAATTATGCAAGGAAACCCGTTTACCTTCTAGACTGCATTGTCAGACACTATAGAGTGACTGACTGGCTTCTTTATTTTCTTTGGTAATAACATACATAAAATGAGATGAAAAGGGTATGAGTATTTGTCTACATTAATTCTTATAATGGCCCAAATTACACTGATTGAATCTTTGCCATTACTTTAGTGATTGCAATCACTCAAGTCGATTTGACCACTAATAGTTCTATTTTCCCACTTAAAGACATTTTCAAGCCCTTTAGTTTTGAGGGAAGTTCTAAATAGTATTATCTTTCAAATGCCGTTCGAATTGAGCCTTTTCATTTTTTTTGGCTTGCAAATGAAACATATACCGTTAATTTATCATTTTAGACTAGATACACGTGCCATAGCTGTACGAGACCCCATGGATTATTTCTCTGCTAACTTTTAAGTGGCAAAATTCAGTATCCATATACCTTTTCTTTACAATACACATGTTTACATTTTACATTTTAGACTAGATACACGTGCCATAGCTGTACGAGACCCCATGGATAATTTCTCTGCTAACTTTTAAGTGGCAAAATTCAGTATCCATATACCTTTTCTTTACAATACACATGTTTACATGTTGGCCCTAATTCACAAAGGAGGTTTGTCGACAAACCTAGGTTTATGTGCGTCATAATTTTATGACGCGTTTTGACGCGTTTTGACAAACCTAGGTCTGTAAATACAAACCTAGGTTTGTAAAAACGCGTCATATGACGTACATAAACCTAGGTTTGTCGACAAACCTCCTTTGTGAATTCGGGCCATTGTGTGCATAATGTTTGAACAAGGTTTCACTTGACGACTAAAGAGTTTACCAGAAGCTTGCCCGACGTAGCAACTACTAAAACATGAAAATTGGATTCCATCCATATAGAGATGCCTTTATTCAAAGTAGGTGGATTAAATGGCTTGTAACCAGGGGTTAGCGAAAGAAACGTGAATAGATTGAAATACATTAGCAAACAGGTCTATTATATTTTCTGTAAGTGGTACGAGCGATTCACTTTATTTTGCTGTTGAATGCATTTGGGCTGCCATTCCTGTCAAACCTACACAAATGTACCGAAGCATAAACCTGCCTGCCTATATTCCTTTCACTGATGGCATTCCATTCATGCAAAAAAACCTAATATCGAGTGCGTTGGGTGTGTGTACGTTCGTGCATGCGCGGATTATACGGCCGGCAATTATTCATGGTAAAACTCACTTTAGTCTGAACGGTTTTTCTTCAGTAAGTCCGTGGGCTGAATGGCGTGCTCAGATTAACATACATTTACAACCGAACAAAACAGAAATGAAAATAACGAAACGAAAAACATTTGAAAACATAAAGGGATTTTGTTTAAAATTATAACAGACCTTAAATAATATTAGGTTTAAAAAAAAAAATAAAAAAAATAAAAAAAAATAAAGCAATAATGATATATTTATAGAAAAGAAAGCTACATGTATTTGTGGACTATTTGGGGCAGTTCAGATGTGACGAAATGGATAGGAAACACTCTTTCTCAACATTTGAATTATAACCTCTGTGACTCAGTAAAACAAGGTTACTATATGAACCAACATTTCTTGATCAGGAAAGAATAACGTGTTTAATAATGCTATATTTTGATAGCTGCCATAATTCAAAGCTTATTGCATTATATTTTGTATATTTGGTTTGTTGGTACCAAGTTCGTTTGTTTTGCGTGGAAGTGATTAGTCAGATAAACGGTTATTGAGCATAGTCAAACTTTGTGGTAAGGCAAATTTAACTGTTAATAAGTTTTATGTTTTTGTTTTTTGTTCGTTAGGTTTTTTTTTTCTTATCATTCCGTTAAATATGGATTTTCCTTCGTTAATAGAACACTTGTCTAACTAATAGATATATTTCTTATCATAGTCAAGCGTTGGAAGTTAGTTATCTTATATTTTGTATATTTGGTTTGTTGGTATCAAGTTTGTTTGTTTTTCGTGGAAGTGTCCACTTCATTTGTGGAATATTAGTCAGATTATTGGTTATTGATCATAATCAAACCTTGTGATTTGGTAATCTCCGAAAAGCAAATTTAAATGTTAAGTTGTTTTTTTTTTTTTTTTTTTTTGTTGTTAGTTTTTTTGTTATCATTCCGTTAAATATGGATTTGTCCATCGTTAATAGAACACTTGTCTATATTTGTTATCATAGTCAATCTTCGGGAGTTAGTTATCTTATATTATGTATATTTGGTTTGTTGGTATTACGGTAAATACGGATTTTCCATCGTTAATAGAACACTTGTCTAACTAATAGATATATTCATAATCATGATCAAGCTTTGGGAGTTACTTATCTTATCTTATGAGTTGCAAATCATATTTTGTTGACGTAATTTTGTCATTTTGTCATTCTGCTAATTGGTATTGTCGATCATTTTATCACACTAGCCCGTCCACTTGATAAACCAATACGAAGAAACCACCACCAGCACCACGGAGGATTTGACTCTTCATCACCACTCTGCAGATGATCTACCAACCATGAAGGAACTGCCCAAATCGAAGAAAAACCGGTTGATGTTCTTCTGGACACTGGTGATGGTGACGACCATCTGGTTGGTCCTCTGGTCCATGTCCGACGGGTACGACCGCTTCACGTGGCAGGAGGAAGTGTCATCAATACCTGTAGTGTGTCACCCTTCAACCACCAGGTGAGTTCACGCAGACAGTTCATAAATACATAGGCCCGTAATTGTATTCGGGTTTAGGATTTTGTTCCAAATCGGATTTAATAATAGATGTTAGTAAGAAGATGTGTGCACGCACGCGCGCGTGTGTGTGTGAATGCGTGGGTGTGTGGGTGTGTGTGTGTGTGTGTAATTTATAGATTTTAGACCAAGGTCAATCCTTTTATCTAACGGAAAGCAAAATGCGGATGCATTATTAAGATGATTGTATTTCTTGAGATAGATAGCTACATGACACATGAATGTAGGTCTATGCAATATTCTATGCGATACATTATTTGTATAATGTTTGATCATATCGGAACAGATCTTTAACATATCAATTATTACTAGAGTCATCGATTTTCCCCCAGCTTCATACTGGTACTTACTAGGTGCCTGAAGTGGCGTGTTGATTAAATATAAAGTTCACGCCTGGTCTTGCAATGAAATTGTTGCGGGGGGGGGGGGGGGCTGTCAGGATGCAATGTGAAACTGGGGTGATGATGTAGTGAATAGGCATTGATGTATCCGGAGAGGTTTTATAACCATAACATTGATTACAAATGTACACATTCTTGATAAAAGCACATACACTGTACACAAAAATGGGTATATAACTGTGATATGACTGTCTGGTCCAAACCTCATCTCTTTCTTGTCATCATTATTTCGAACAAGAAAGCATACGAAAAGCAATCTATCTCAGGGGGCACTCATATTACGACTTTAATATCCAAGCTGACAAAGGATGAGAAAACTCACACATCGAGAGATTGAGTCATTAATTTATTCAAAACACGGTAAAAAAAAAATACATGTTCACCCTCTGCAGAAGTCAAGCTTGCTTATGAGAAGCGTGAGGCCGGATATGATTTTATTACGTATGCTTTTGTGAATCTTTGAAGACATGGATATAGTCTGCAAGCACAGACCCTAATATGACACTTTATCAAAAAATCATTGTGCCTTGAGAGAAGCCTAGCGCAGCTACCTACTGGTTGTGTCAAGCAGCTATATAGTACATGACCTATGGTAGTCTTATCGTGCAGACTCTCTTTTACGACTGACCAGGGTTTGTGCCTGCAAACTAACATGGATATCTGCCAATGATGATCTGCCAATATTCAGGCTTTCCCTTCTGCCTCATTCAAATCTTTCTCTCTCTATCTCTCTCTCTCTCCCTCTCTCTTCTCTCTCTTCTCTCTTCTCTCTCTTCTCTCTTCTCTCTTCTCTCTCTCTCTCTCTCTTCTCTCTCTCTTCTCTCTCTCTTCTCTCTCTCTTCTCTCTCTCTTCTCTCTCTCTCTCTCATCCCTCTCTCTTTATCTCATAGTTTCTTTCTCCCTCCCCCTCTATCTTTCTGTGTCCATTCGTACCTCACTCTCCACTCTCCATCTCTCTGTCTCCCTCTCCCCTCCCTCTCCATCTCCCCTCCCTCTCCCCTCCCTCTCCCCTCCCCCCTCCCTCTCCCCTCCCTCTCCCCTCCCTATCTTTCTCGACCTCTCTTCCCTACCGTCAATTATATTCAACCTGTTTTTCTTGTCATTTTTGAAAACGAACTTGTAGTTGTACGCACGATCCCATGAAACAAGCCCACATAATTTACATTTACTTTCTTTTCCACTTGATACCGGCCAGGAGAATAATGGTATGGTGTATGGTATGGTATATTTTATTTATTTACGGTTAAAAACAAATATAATAATTGCCTGCATTCAGCAAAAGCTGTTTTTCAACGAGGCCGTGATTACATAAAATTCGAAAATACAACTTACAAACAAATATGCAAGTTATAATAAATGAACATACTTGCCAATTATGATTCGCCTTGTTCAAGGGTTGGCAGTAAATCAATCGGAAAGAGATGTCAACCTTTCCATAAAGCATAACATAAATTTAATTGACAAGAAGGAAACTTCTACATGAAGGTAAAATTATAAATACTCTCTCTATCCACCTCTCTCTTTCATTTCCATTTCCTCTCTCTTCAGATTTTCTGCAAATTGCAAAGGTACACGGGTCCACAAACCAGAGCCTTCTGGTTCTTTCTCCATCCCTCTTTATATTATCTTAAACCCAATGCTACTTCATTATGTGATATGCTTTGTTACCTATCAATTATAGAAAAGCAACAACAACAACAATACCCAAACCCAAATAGCAAAGACAAAATAAGACAAAAATGACGAGCTGTCATCCGCAAGGGGCACAAACACAATTAGGGGACGCACAGTGCTATTTGCAAGTTTGGGTTGAAAAGGGGCGCAGATTGATTGTGCCCCCCCCCCCAGAAAAAAATGCCATTGGATATGCATATATACGGCTCCAGTAAATATCTTATTCTAGTCAAAATTCATTATCGATATATGCGGTTTCGTGGTTTTATTTTTCATGGCTTACATTAGTTTGTGCATGAATGTCATGATTATTAAGCACGACTTCTCCTATGGACGAATACATTTTGGAGGCGTCCCACAATTGCAATTTAAATCAGTCATTGCTCTAATTGAGATGAATACAAAACCTTAATTTAAATGGTTTACAATGGTTTGTTCTTGACCGCTTTCGCATATCCAGTAATCAAGGATTCACATTTGGTCAAATAAAGTTAGGTATTTGCAAAAGGTTCAAAGGTTGACCTAGATAAATTTCACGGGCAAGGGCATTGCGACTCGTATGGCGTGCGTTTGGTGCCAAAAATGTATAAAATGTCGATGGTAAAAAACTTGATATTTTCGCCATGCGTTTAGGGTCATAAAGATGAAGGTTCAATGTGTGTGGTACGTGTGTATGGGTGTGTGTAATTTGTGTTTCAAACGTATTTCAATCGGATATGATTATTTACGTCTGGGGACCGACTTTTAACGTCACTATCCGAAATACGTGGCTCAGTTTCGAACCAGGGTTCGCCTGAGCCAGTTTGTAGGCGAAGACAGAGGGACCAACCGAACGTAACACTAGACCAATGGCTCAAAGGGAGAACTATCTATCTCCTAAACGTTCGAAGGTAAAAACAAAGATGTTTTGCCATTTATGTATTTCGTTGACCGGTCAGAGCACAACAAAACTCCATCCAGCTGATGTTCCGTTTCTGTGGATGAATCCGGTGGATAGAAAATATCGATTCATTTTCATAAAACCTTCACGACACCAACCGCCTGCCATAGGGGTTGGCTAAGTAGGTCGACGAAGTCGAAGAAGCGAATATCTATCCTTAGAACAACACGCCGCCTTTGAGGCACTGATGGAATTCGATCAGCCATTGATTTAACCTAAATGCGACTTCTCGATGTCCGATAGCCGTAGATATCCGAACCAAAGCCAAAGCACTGACTGCATGTAGTTCGAAGAAGTCACCAAACAAAGATTTGTCTGGCATTTTTAAAGTCTTTCTAACACATGAAGAATGATTTCTAAATCGTGTTTTTTGTGTATGTTATTTTTTATTGTAAGCCAGTCATGTCATTTAGGCCGATGTCAGTTTTTTTTAAATATCACTTTTAATTATTCAATTAAATTCAAATTCAACTTAATTTCCCACATGGAAATCATTATGTACTATACGGATATAGGCTATATGAAATCATGTTCACGATGTTAGATGTTACTATGATCATTAATCTACAAGCCAGCAAAGTTCTTATTGATTTTTTAATGACGGTACAAGTTTCCACTATCATAATTGTTTGGAAGCATCTCTCTTTCCCCGAAAAAAGCTAATTACTTCGTGCTGACGTGTTGATGACTAGAAAACATGCTCAGTATACGACATTGGCCTACTTGCCTGCCAATTATGATATTATATCACGATAAAGTATAATCAGGAAGAAAAAAAAAATCCTGATGTGCCGTGGGTGGTAAAATTAATTCTGCCAAAGAATGTGAACATTAAACGAAATGTTTTGACTGAAGGTTCATTCAGGTATAAGGATGTGAACCCGGATGTGAACCGCGACAGTTTTTCATGATGACGTATGAAGTGTAATACATTTAATTTTGAGATATCTAACAAATAGAGCTCAGTGAATACGCTCATTTACACGTACATAAAACCGCAGCGTTTACAAAAAAAATAGTTAAACCCTCTAACGAAGAGCTCTATTTTGAAGTCTTTGTAAATGGTCGTTAAGTGCTTTAATGCTTTTCCTAAGTTTCTCCAGATTACATCACAATACTCAAATTTGCTTATATTATGCTCTCATGAAATACCAATGCAGCCTGTGATATAAATGGACGAGTTCTTTTGAGTAAATACAGACTTTTCCATATGTCTTGTTTAAGCTTATCTACTTGCTTGTTCCAGTCAACATATTCACAATTAAGACTCCAAGGTGTTTTATTTGCGTTACGCTTCTATCTTTCTAATCCGATTTCTACTCCCTACCAACAAAAACTCGCATTTCTTTACATTCAACGCCAATTTATTCTTTACCAACCATTTTGTTAATAGCTGAGAGATCATCATTCAGATTGTTGGCTAGAGCGTTCACTCTCTCAGTTTCTACGTATATACACGTATCATCTGCATAATGGGACACTCTGCAATTGTTGAGAACACATATTAAACAAATAGAAGGGGGCCAATATTACTCCCCTGTGGAATTCCACATGTAATACTTTGGAAAGATGATTTAGTACCATTAACAACTGTACATTGACGACGCCCAACCAGATAATCCTCGAACCATTTCAAAACATTCCGTTAATGCCTTTCTCTTTAATTTGTTTAACAATAGATGGCGGTCTAGCTATATACTGTATCGAATTCTCAAATCTAAAGCGAACATACCCAACACGGTTTCCCTTGTCTAGGCTATCTAGTATAATATACTTTTCGTGACATTGAGTAAGGCAGTCATGGTAGAATGATTCGGACGAAAACATGATTGGTGTGCACATTATATAGTAATGAATGAAAGAATACTTATACACTTTGGTAAAAGTTCTCTATGATTTTAGCAAGGGGTACAGACAATATATAGAGA